ACATTCTGACACAGGCGGTGGAAAAGCCAACAAGGAAAGGTGTGCAGCTGATCTTGTTCATATAAATGAGGATGGACTTGTTGGAGATGTGATGGAGATGTGAAGGTTGGGGACAACTTTGGATGAACTGACCATGAGATTGTGAAGTTCGGGATCTTACATGGAAGAAAAATGGGCAGTAAGTAGAACTGTTAACCCTGGACTTCAAGAGAGCCAATTTTGACTTCTTAAGGGACCTATGTGAAGGCATCCCATGAGTTACAGCTTTGCAAGGTAAGGAGGCCCAAAAAAGTTGGTTAATATTCAAGAACCACTCCTGAGCTCAAGATCTGTGCATCCCTGAGAAATAAGACAAAGATGACAGGAGATCTGCATAGAATCTGCACTGAATCACAAAATTACAGAATTCTATGGATTGGAAGAGGCCTCCAGAGATCATCAAGTCCAACTCCCCTGCAGAGCAGACTCCTTACAGCAGGCTGCACAGGTAGATGTCCAGGGAGGTCTTGAATATCTCCAGAGGAAAACCCACAGCCCCTCTGGGCAGCCTGTTCCAGTGCTCCGTCACCCTCACTGGGAAGAAGTTTCTTCACATATTGGTGCGGAATTTCCTATGCTCCAGTTTATGGCCATTTCCCTGTGGGGTCCTGTCCCCACAGATCGCTGAAAAGAGGTTGGCCATGTCCCTTTGACTCCCATACTTAAGATACTTAGAAGCTCATGGAAAAGCTCAAATGGAAAAAGTCTACAAAATTTGGAAAAGGGGTCTGGCCACCTGGGAGGATTATAGGAATATTGTCAGAACATGCAGCAGTGCAACAAGGAAGTCTAAGGCAGAGTTGGAATTAAATTTGGCAAGGAGGAGAGACTTCTGGCAAGGGAAGAAGGAAGGCTTCTTTAAGCATGTCAACAGCAAAAGGACACACTGAATGAGTACCCTGATAATGGAGGACACTGACTAGGCAGAGATACTGAACACTTTCTTTGCTTCAGTCTTTACTGCTGAGATTGTCCCACAGGAATCCCTGACCCTGGAGATACGAGAGTGTGGAAAGGAAGACTTCCCCTCTGCCGAGGTGGATCTGGACAGAGATCTAGGCAAACTCAACTCACACGGTTCCATGGGACCAGATGGGAATGCATGCCCAAGAGCTGAGGGAATTGGCAGAAGTGGCTGCCAAGCCACTCTCTATCAACTTTGAAAGGTCATGGAGAATGGGAGAGGTGCCTGAAGACTAGAGGAAAGCCAGTGTTACTTTAAGAAAGGCAAGAAGGAGGATGTGGGAAACTACAGGCCAGTCAGCCTCATCTCCACCCCTGTAAAGGTGATGAAACAGCTTTTCCTAGATGAAAGAAAAGAAGGTTATCAGGAGTAGTCAACATGGATTTACCAAGGGAAAATCATGCTCAGTGAACCTGGTAGCCTTTTATGATGCTATGACAGGGTGGGTATATGAAAGCATTTAATGTTGTCTACTTTGACTTCAGCAAGGCTTTTGACACTAGCTCCCAAAACCATCCTTGCTGGTAAGCTTAGAAGTTCGGTGATAGAAGGGTGGAACAGGGGTAGACAGAGAACTGAGGCTGACAGATAGGCAGAGCACATAGGGTTGTGATCAGCAACACAGAGCCTAGTTGGAGGCCTGTAGCTGTGTTCCCCGGGACTTGGTACTGGATCTAGTCTTCTTTCATAACATCATCAGTGACCTGGATGAACAGTTAGAGTGCACCTGAGCAAATCTGCTGATAACAGAAAGCTGGCAGGAGTGGCTGATGCATCATAAGTCTGTGCAGACCTATTCAGCAAGACCTGGACAGGCTGAAGACTTGTGCAAAGAGGAACCTTGTGAGATTAAACAAGGCTAAGTATAATGTCCTACATCTGGGAGGAATAACCCCATGTACTAGCACAGGTTAGTGGCTTACCCACTGGAGAGCAGCTCTGTAGAGAAAAACCTGGTGGATAACAAGTTGACCATGTGTGCATTTGTGGTTAAGAAGGCCAGAGGTATACTGGGGAGCATTAGGAAGACTACATAACCAGCAGGTCGAGGTGAGGTGATCCTCCCCCTCTATCTGCTCTGGTGAGGCCACATCAGGAGTGCAATGCACTGTGTCAATTTCAAAGACACAGAACTTCAAGAGAGCGTTTGGCAGAGGGCCACAAAAATTATTGAGGGCAGGGAGCACTCCCCATCTTAGGAAAGGCTGAGAGACCTGGGACTGTTCAGCCTGCAGAAGAAAAAGCTGAGGGGGAATGAATACTTATATGAGACCTGCTCCTAAAGTAATGGCTCCCATTTTCTTATGTTGGCCTATGATGTCAGAAGCAGACATTGGTGGTTTGGCAGTAGAGTCTGAACCTTCGCATCAATATTCCATTACATTTTGTTGCTGTGTGACAGATGGCAGCAGAGGGACAGTCTGACAAAATGGTGCCTAACATGGAAGTGCGTATGAAGCAAAAGCAATGAATTCCATCCATGTGGAAAAAATAGTACTCATTGATGCTCCATTCAACAGAATGTGTATGGAGACCAAACAGGGGATGTGAGCACAGTGAGATGGTGAATGGTGCATTTTAGCAGTGGCAAAGTGCGTCACTTCAGTTGGTGCACATTTTTTTTTGAAGAGTGTGTCCTGCAGGCTCTTGTTCAAATGGTGACAATACATAGCTAATTGTGGTGACTAAGCTGAAAAACCATGTTTTGTAGCCTGAGAATGTGTTTTTATTAAATTTATTAAATAGTGTTATTGTGCTCTTTGTACCTTTTGTAGTTTCCATGGAAATAAATAGGAGGCATTACTTTGAGAACAACCTATGCCAGGCTCTTTTTAATGGTACCAAGAGACAGAACAGGAAGTAATGGGTACAAAGAAAAAAGTTCCATATGAATATGAGGAAGAACTTTACTGGGAAGGTGACTGAACACTGGAACAAGCTTTCCAAAGATACTCAAAACCTGCCAGTGTGCTTTCCAGTGTAACCTAGTCTACGGAACATGCTTCAGCAGGTCCCTTCCAACCCCTATGATTCAGTAAACATCTCAGTCAAAATTTGGAAAAACAAGTCACGTAGGCCTGCCCAACTGTTTCACTCACATTTCATATTGCATAGTTTGTGATCTCCTGTAGACAAAGCATTTTTTTTTAAACTTGTTATGTTATTGATGCAGCAAGTTTCAAGAGTAACCTGGTAGTTTCTCAGCTGTGCTACTTTATGTTCTAAAGAACACACAGAAAGATGTTTACCAGAGAAAACAAATGCCTGAACACCAAGGTGAGGGCTTAAAAGTAAAAGCCATCAGCAAAGCAGGATTTCAGTACTGAGAAGTGCACTTCAGACTCACCAGTAAGAGTGGTACCCTGCCCAAAGGAACCTATAGAAACACACGCTGTGGATACACAAAACAATTGCAAGTACAATTGTACAAAAATTAGTGAATCATATTCAACTGCCTATAAAAGCTTCTGTGTCACTGTTTTGTTGTTTCAGGTAACATTTGTCCCGATTTTTCCTACTGAACAGTCACTTGGGAAAGCTGTCATGAAAAATGGTTCAATTCTTCTCAAAAGTGAGGCATGTTTTCTTCAGAGGGCATAGAATCACAAACATTGTGCTATTCATCACACAGAAGAGGCAATGTTCCCAGCGGACCTTTCTAGCACAGAAGCAACCATACAGAGACCAGAACATTAACAGGTCGTTCTTCCCCATTACAAATTATTCTACTCTGCAACACTGTTTTTTGTTTTTGTTTTTGTTTTTTTAACTAGAAATCTTATGACTTGGCATTAAATTTCACGTTTAGTCAAGTTGTCAAGAACACAGTCACACATACTTTCCTTTAAGCTGAAAATTGGCTGTGATTTATCAAAGTCAGCAAGGTATAAATAATGCATGTCTTGCACAGACAACATTTTTTTGTAATGTAAGAACTAATGGCCTGTCAACACAGCATTCCAAATACACAACCTCTACAATGGTTTACAGAGTTTCTTCCCTCAATTTTTTTAATATAATAAATGAAGGGCTGTTGGGAGGCAAAATCACTCCAACTGAGTCCTAACAACTATGATATTGTATGTGACAGTATGCAGAGAGACATCATATATCTTTAAGATGAAAGATAGTTAAGGATGCAAAATTCCGCATTATCAGAACTTTGCTGATGAGCACAAATGAAAAAAAAATTATATTTACTCAATACTTGAAGCCCAGCATATAAATCAAAACTTAAATTATCTCAGCGCATTCTCACTTTGAATACTGTGAGCTCCACAAAATAAAAATGATGCTAAGATATTTGAGTGAGCCCAGAGAAGGCAAAAGAGATCATAATGCAACGAGAAGGTGTGTCCTGTGAGGAGAAAGTGAGGATAACTGGGTTGTTCAGTCTGGAGAAGGGGAGGCCAAGAGGTAACCTCACTGCTCTCTGTAGCTCCCTGAGGAGGAGAAGCAGAGGGAGGTATCACGCTCCACTCCTGGGAATCAAAGGCAGGAAAGGAGGCTCCATTGTGATGGTGGTCAAACACTGGCATGGGCTTCCTGGAGAGGTGGTTAATGCCTTAATGCCCCACGGCCTGTCTAGTGTTTAAGAAACATTTGGACAATGTCTTCAATAACATGCTTAACTTTTTGTTAGCCCTGAAGTGGTCAGGCAGTCAGACTCAATGTAGTCAACACAGAATAGTTCAGTTGTAGGTCCCTCGCAACTGAACTATTTTATGCAGTTCGGGGAGGAGGAGAAGGGGGGAAGCCAATCCAATCACGTATGATTTCATGAGGCTTTTATGCCAGAGTTTCTTCCAAGATAAAATAGTTCCTCCTTAAATCTGTTGCACACTAAATATTTTAGAATTATGCTAAAGTTCTGAATCTTAGCCACTGTGGTACAGCAGAAACACATCTGCTGGAGTTTCTGTAAAAAGGAATTAGAAAAGCAGCATTACCAACACATAGTCAGTACAGTCAGCTCAAGTTACCTAAACAAACTTACCTTTCTGTTATTGTTTCTCTGAGACCACTTGCAACACCTTTCACGACTGTACTAGCCTTTGGTGTCAGCACTACTTGAGATATAAAAAAGGAGCCCTTCTTTCTTCTTTCAGTGATTGATGCCTGGAGGAACTGAATTAGTTTTTCTGGATCTGTTGTGTTTGCCCAAGGAGCTGGCATCATCTGGCCTGGCCAAAGAAATGGTACCTCAAGAGCCACTGGGCTGTGATAAAAAACCAGCACTTGGTGTTCCTTTTCCCACAGGTACTGGAGGCTTACTTCATGGGCAAATATAGCAGGACACATTTTGTTTCCATATGTGTCCTTGAGCATCTGGACAAGCTTTTCATGATGGTATTTCTGCATTCCATAGAAATGATTGAAGTCCAAGAAAACCGCTTCTTTTGGGTGGTCAGCAAGGAATGCGTTGATCTCTTCCAGGCCTTCCTTGACTTTGGCACTGAATAAGCCATGAGCAAAGTAGAGTTCGTTGTCTGGGTCTCTGGGCTTGGTGGAAATCCTAAGATCAAAATACCGTATACCTGCACCCAGCTGGCTGGTGAAGTTCATGGTCTGTGTAGCTAACCACTTCCTCATCAGCTTTTTAGCCACCGTCCCAAAGACAGACACAAAGTTCTGGACCGTTTCTGGCTGTTCAGGCCCAACTGGAGAGGCTTCATCAATGTAGAAGCTGAAAGAGTCATGGGAACCTAAAAACAGAACAAAGAAGAACAATCAGTATTGGTTGTATGCAATAGAAGGTATTAATGATTCTTTCTTTCTGATCTCTGTCAACATTTTCCCACCAGCTCTCCACAGGAACTTGAATGAAAAGAAGTTAACTGTTTTACAGCTTGTCTAGGCATTCTCTCACTCTTTCAGCTCTTATGACCTTTCTGTACTACTTAAGTCAGAGGTTCTAAATGTCAAAAAAAACCTGATAAAAATTCAGCAAAATCAGACACGTAACATATCCCCAGAGCCAATGCAAAGATGAGAATCTGGCCCTGTGCTCTGAATAGTGCATTGTCTGGTTTGCACAACAAGCCACACATCTTTGCATGAGTGTAAAAATGCCAAAGATGTGTAACCTTTCTGATCTTTTCTTTACTTCAAGTCTCAAATCATCAGAAAGGTTACCAAATGCTGTTTTCCTTCTTAAACATACCTCTAAATTATTTTTGCCATGCTACATAAATAAAACAGAAGCATGGATAGCATGTTCCTTCATTAAAACACAGAGACTCCACTGTCTGCTCTTGACAAGAACACGACCACTACTAAACATACCCATGTAAAGAAGCTACCATTTTCTACAAAACAACATGGTTGTATACAAATTTCTAAGACAAACTGCTTTGCAAAAGTCTGGTTGTGTCAAGGTACGTCCATAAAAATATGCACACATTTTGTCATCCCTTTAGATCTTTACATGAAAGCAGCTGATGATTCTAAAGACATCTGCAAACACAGAATTTTGTCTTGCTTTAAGGAAAGAATTGTTCACCCTAGGAGATGCTTATCATACTTGTCTATCATTCGTCTGTGCAGTTTGCACAGACTGTCTGACTTGCAGGCAGAGCCACTGTCCCCCTGGTCAGGGATGCTGGTCACATTCACCACAGCAAGGAGTTCTGATCCTCAGGCTGTGCCACATCACCAGCACAACTCCTGCAGGTCAGCAAGACTGCTACTCCAAAATAGATCACAGCATTAAGCCCCCAGAGATCCAACTTAAAGCACCAAAATGAGTTCAAAGCACAAGTCATGCCTTCTGCTATTTATGCTTTTGTAGGTGCTTTTCAAAATTATCTTCCAAGGCACACCAGCTGTAGCAAATAGGTTCACATTAATTAAATCCTGCTACTCAGTCATTTCTGATGGTGATGCTATTTTAACTGAGCTGCAACAAACCCTATATACTGAAGTGACAGCTGTAAAATTTTCTTTAACAATAAGTGCAGTCACACAAATCATCTTAAACTCTGGCTTGAATTTTCTTTGTTTAATCTGAGAAAAGTCTTAAAATATTATACACCCCTGCTTTTCACAGTTGTCTCCTTGAACAGCATTTCACTTTCAATATTACACAAATTCTCCATTTTGATGAAGATTGCTACTGCTGAGTGTTGAAGCAATACTGTATTCCTTGCAGAGCCCAATTAGATCACAGAGTATCTAGTTACACACTGATATCCCAGGGGACCAGATCTGCATACAGAATTTTAATGGTAAAACAAATGATTAGAGCAGTAATTTGTGTTTCAACAGCATCTCGGGGAAAAATCAATGTGATACATTAAATGTTCTGCTCAATGTTACCTGGCTAATCTAGAAATCAAAGTAAATCCAGTCTTGTTAAAAACAAGGCACAGTTACTGATATTAAAGATGGATCTTGCAAACCTTCATTTTATCCACTGAAGTTCCTTTGATTTCAGTAGGATTTTATTTCTGAAGTATATATGTACAAACAAGATTAACTGATTGCAGCAGTGGGCCCAAAATCATAATAAGATTAATTAAACTATTTGCCTTTTATTGTCAGATCTATAGCCTCTGGGAGTTGCAGAAGAGGTAGCTAAGCAATGATCACCACAGCCAATATACAACACAGTGCCAAACACTACTATAAAACACTGAAGTCATGAGAGGCCACACACTTCTCACTACTGAAAACTACAGCAAACAACTTGTTAGCAAATAGCCTTTAGCCTCCATGCAAAACTCAGATGGAAAGGAAGGAACATCATGGTTAGAATCCACTAACCACTGCAAGCAGGATAGTATAGAACTTTGTTTTTAAGATAAAATCTTAAGGCACATATTTGAATCTAAAAATTGGATTCCTGTGTAAAAGGCATAAAGAGGAGGGTACTAAGAAACTCCACGTTTTGTAACCAGAACAGGAAGGACCCACTCAGTTCTATAAAGAGAAAATGAAGTTTGGCTTATTTCGGTTGACACTGAAAGGATCTGGTCTGAGCTGTTTCAAAGTCTGTAAACGTTCTTCCTGACTGAAAAAAAAAAAAAAGTTTTTGGCTGTCCACATGTATAAGTTATTTGAGCAGGTCATCTAATGTTTATCCTCATCACACGCTATCTATATTCCACATCATCAGAAAACATCTAACTCTGTGAAATTCAAAATCCTGGCACTTGGCATAGAAAATTAAGAGTACAATTTTAAAGTGATTTTACCAAATCACTGTGTGCCTGGTAAAGAGAAGACCTTGTATGAACAAGTAAGACAAGATCTTGTACATTTCCATTAAGGAAGTTCCTTCCAGCCTTGCTTTGAGGCACAGAGACATTCTCATACTTCTCTGCCACTGAGAAGTGAACTTGTTGGTCCTCGTTATCACTGGATCTCAGGTCCCATAAAGAAAGCATGCAGGACTGCCCTGGTTTTAGTTGCAATAGTTACTTTTCCTCACATAAACGGTATGATGCTGTGTTTTAGATTTAGAGCAAGAATACAGTTGATCACCCACCAATATGTTAGCAGTGGCTGAGCAGTGCTTACACAGAGCCAAGGACATTTCAGCTTCTTACACTGTCCAGCCAGTGAATGGCTAGAGGTGCACAAGTGCTGGGAGGGAAAAGAATCAGAGCAGCTGCTCCAACCTGCCCAATACTGCATCCCATATTACATGACACGATGCTAAACAGCAAAGCTGGAATGAGGAAGAAGGGGCTTTCAGAGTGATGGCATTTATCTTACCAAGAAACCACAATGCATGCTGAGCCCTGCCGTCCTGGCAGTGGCTGAATACCTGCTTGCTGATGGGAAGCAGCCAATGAATTCCTCGCTACCCTTTGCTTGTGCACATGGCTTCTGCTCTATCTGGTGAACTGTCCTTATCTCAGCTCAGGGGTTCTCTCACTTTTACCTTTCTGATTCTATCCTGCACCCCATCTAGGGACAGTGAGTGAACAACCACATGGTGCTGAGCTGCACACCAGAGTTACACCACAACAAGGGTACATTCAAAAAAATACTGATGCAATCATACTTGAAGTCTTCAGAAGGCAGCATTGTTCACACATCAGCGTTTTGTTTTATTTTGTTTTTTTGTTTTTTTTTACAACAATAGGGAAGCAGACCAGCAAACCCCAGAAAATGCTCACACCTGATATATGGGAGCTGCATCTATGTTTCACAAGTGACAGTCCTTACTACAGAGACTTCATAACTTAAGATGAGAAGAAGCAAGTCCAAGGGAAATCATCCAACCCAAATCACACCAGGAAGAAGAGTAAACTGATACTCTCTTCTTCACTCTCACCAATTTACTAATTGTCTAGCAATTTCTAGAAGTATTAGGAAGCATCTTCCCACTGTTTCAGCAACACAATAGACAATGATTCAAGCAGTCAAGGATGAAGAGTCAGATAAACATCACGGTGTTGGCAAACAAGGCGTAAGTACAGTTTGGATAAGTCACAGACTGTTGAGTTATGAAGAGAAAGTGGATAAAGCCTTCTTTAACCATATGGAAGAATCATGGACTATTTTAACTTCAATTATTTTGATATTTGCTGGAAGAGCAAAACATCAGGGCACAAAACACTCTGGAGAGGTTCAAAGACTTTTTTTCTTTTCTGCAGGCACTCCTCCTAGTAGACTGCTGGGCTTGGGACAAACAAAGGAGAACTAGCTAGAGACATGAAGGATGACAACTGTAAACTGACTAAAGGTGATGAAAAAAATTAAAATCCTGACGAAAGAAGAAAGGTAAATCGCAGAACAAAGACTTATTTCGAAGTAGCAGTTTTTGCTCATTCAACTACTTTAGTGCCAATGGACTAAGGAGAAATGGTTGTACTTGAAAGACAACCTCCTAGAGCATATGAACAATCCAACCCAGTGTGTAAAAAATCAAGGAGGTAATGCAGGGGGCAAGTTTGGCTGAACACATGAGTGCGTTCAAACACAAAATGCCATACAGAAAGTGTAAGCAGGAACAGCTAACCTGAGGAATAGAGGAGGGAGACAAGGAGAGTTATGAAGCGCAAAGCTTGGCTGGAGTTAAAATTTGGAAAGGATGCAAAAGGCAACATAGGTTTCCTACAGAAAGACCAGAAGCAAGAGCAAGGAAGAAGGAAAATGCTGCTCCACTACTGAATGGGGCTGATCTCATAATGCACGACAAGGAAACTGCTGAAGTAACTGAACAGTGGCTGGACCAGATGTCTGCTTGAGCTCCTTTTCAACCTAAATTATTCTGCATCTCTCGATCTCCCTGCTCCCAGAAGAGACAACAACTTCACTTCTTGTCTCTCAACCTCTGAAGCAACTATCATAAGACACTGAAAATGCTTGCATAATCTGTGACGGAAAAAACAAATCTGGCCAGTTTCCATCACTGTGACATTAAATTTCTATGAACTTAGATGTAAGCTAAACACTATACAGACATTTATTGGTAAAATGTGCAGCATCATCTAGAGTACAAGAATGGTCTGTTTTCTTTAGTGAATTCATTTAATAGGACAATTGGGAATACACAATCCACTATTGCTCAGCTATGGACATATTTATGGCTTTCCCAGAGGGCTAACTCCCCCCTCATTTAAAAAATAATTGGGCTCAGTGCTGAAAAGTCCCCCAGGGAGAATGTGATTCAGTTCAAAACTGCTTCTTCGCCACACTAGAGATTTACAAACAGATTGGTGAAGCTACCATTTTTGGTGGCTGAGTTTTAATA